TACCGTACAACACCTCCGCCCAACAACCACCCATTTATTCGTTCTCAGTCTTTTATTTTATTTGCCGAGCAAATTCCATTTGCATAGACTCTTAGCGCCTCTTCCTCCACTGCATGGCCTCTACTGTATGTGGTCTCATCCTTTTGTTGCTTATAGCTTTTTTCTTTTTGTTGTTGTGGTATCATATTTATTAAAAGGATTATTGGTGCTTCACTGCTGTTCGTATATCCTGTTAGCCGCTTTCATGTCTGCCAATGAACTTGTCTGCTGCTCATTTCAGGATTTTAGTTGGCAAAATTTGCTTTTGGCATTCATTGCTCGTGCCACATAGAGCTTTTTGATATGGCATATATATGTGTATGTATGTAGTAGATATGGAATGTGTCTGTTCATTTTACCAATTTTTTTTACCGGCTTTCAATTGTATTAAATACGAATTTTTAATCGCATAAAGTGAAAACGGGATTTCGTTAGCTTTGAAGAATATGAAATGTAATGTGAGATAAATTTTATTTCCTTTAAATATTTCACTAACAGTTCATGGCATTCTTGTCCATATATTTTTCTGCTATTTGCATCATTTTCTGAGTCTCTCATATACGTGTATATATACAATTTTCTATTAGCATTTTTCTTACTTTCCTGTCTTCTTAATAGTAAAAACGAAGTTCAATTACTAAAAATAACAGTCCTCGGCCAATATACAATAATTCGCATGAGCTCCAGCGCGTAAACCCGGTTGTCATTAGAGTCGTGAAAACCAACTATCAAAGGGAAATGGTGGCAGCAAATATCCCTCTTGTTCCCATTAGTACAGCCAATTACTTCGACACAGTCAATCTATCATTACTACAGATCTAGACCATTTCTCTTCGACCTTCTTCATTGCGGCATAGCTGCATGTAATATCAGCAAGATCCTCGGATACCTTCTACACTATCTGGATGAAGGAGTAGATGAAGAAGCTATGAAGCACTGCCCTGAGGACCACAACAGGAATCCTGATCACTCGTGTACCAATTATACAGTGAAAGATCTATACTCTCAGCTCAGAAACTATGCAGTTATACCTTGTGAAGAACATTAGCTTGGAGTAGAACCACCACATGTACACAACAGGATGGGAGCACTTGACCTACTAGACTCCGCTTTTTAGCACGAGCCAATAACAGAGCTTAAATGTCATCCAGAAAGAGTCGGAGTCAACCACAATTCATAGCAGACGAAGTGTTCAAGCTACGACGAGACGTGGTAGACTTAGCATCAATTTGCCCGGATTCATACCGAGTTGCTCTATAACACCAACCACTACTTTTTATGCTCACTTAAACTCACTCTTCCTACCACCTTCCCACTCTTGCCGGAACCCTTCGAAACAGCTCCGAGCAACCCTACATTAGAACGATTAGAAACGAGTAGTTGGAGATATAAATATAAATGTCCGCGCCCAGTCTTCATGTTTCTCTTATTCTGTTGTAATTATTCGATTTTATATTTGATTAGTTATAACCGGTTTTTTGTAATCGGCTTGTGTTTACCTATAACATGCTATTGATGTATATTATCCATTATCAATATCCGGTTTCTAATATCTGGCTATCAATAATGGATTCCATATATCTGGATATTAAAACCAGTTATTTATATCCGGTTATCAATAACCGGTTTCCTATATCTGGCTATCAATAATGGGTTCCATATATCTGGTTATAAAAAATGGGTTCTTATGTCCGGTTATTAATAACAGGTTTCTTATATCTGCCTATCAATAATTGGTTCCATGTATCTGGTTATAAAAACCGGTTTCGTATAGCCGGTTATCAATAAGCGGTTTCTTGTATCTGGCAGTCAATAACCGTTTTTATATCTAGTAACCAATAACCGGTTTATTTTATCCGGTTATCAATAACCAGTTTATTACATCTGGTAGTTAATAACAGGTTTTCTATATCTGGGAATCAATTACCGGTTCCTTATATCTGACTATCAATAATTGCTTCCATATATCTGGTTATAAAAATCGGTTACTTATATCCGGTTATCAATAACTGATTTCCTATATCTGGATATCAATAATTGCGTCCATATATCTGGTTATAAATCCGGTTTTTTATATCCGATTATCAAAAACCGGTTTCTTATATCTTAGTCAACAACCGGCTTTTTATATCTGGTAACCTTTTACAGGTTTCTTACATCCGGTTATCAAAAAGCGGTTTCCTATATCTGGTAATCAATACCCAGATTCTTATATCTGCCTATCAATAATTGGTTCCATATATCTGTTTATAAAAACTGATTTCTTATACCTGGTAAACAATAACCGGTTTCTTATCCGGTTATCAATTACCAGTTTATTATATCTGGTAGTTAATAACAGGTTTATTACATCCGGTTATCAAGAAGCGGTTTCCTATAGCTGGATATCAATAATTGCTTTCGTATATCTGGTTATAAAAACCGGTTTCTGGTTATCAATAACCGGTCCCTTATTCCCGCTTACAAACACCTTCTTGCATCTGATTACAAAAAATGGATCTGCATATTCGGCTTCCAATTCTAGGTATTTATTTTCTCTAATAGGGATCAGATATTCATAATCGGTTTTCTGCATTTGGTTTCTATTTTCCTGTATTATTTACTTGCTATACAAAAGTCCCGTTGGAATGCTTTCATTCTTTTGAGTCCACATGTGCCACAGACCTTTTTCCAGTTACCTTTCAGTGAGACCGAAAAGAAATTGACTGACTCAGGGGCTTAAAGCTGCAGAAGCTGAGTTTGTATTCTGCTTGTAAGCTAATTTTCATAATATTTCTTGTAATTTGAAATCATTGGTCATATTAAATAAATACCCAGTTCAGACCTCGCCGACTGCACTTAATTTTGTGACCTTAAAGTGTGTGATGTGTAAATATGTGCTGACTTTCTAATGCTAATGCTCAACGAGCTATTTAAATGTATGCAAGATCTTACGCCATCGCCTGCCTGCAAGTAGACAACGTATCAATGAGATATCCTTTTGTGCCCTTGCGGTGTAAAGTAATTTCAAATGCATGTTTATCTGTGGAGGAGAGAATTTCGTATGCAAAACATACATATACATACATATATGCGTTCACGCTGGCATATAAATGCAAGTAGATATGTATGTTCATAAGTACACGTATGCATGTTCTATTCAGCACATGAACAGTAAGTAAGTAAGTAAGTAAGTAGCAAGTGACAAGTGTGTTGTGCGGCTTGCGGCATGTGTGGCATGTGCGGTGTTTGTGGCATGTTCACTACAATTTTGGAAATGTTAAAGTATCAAAATCATTGCAATTGCAATGAGACTGTTTGACTGTTCATAACGCTCGCCGCTTGACTTGCATAAATATTTGACAAACGAAAGAATGTGTAGTCACCGGAATGGAAGTGGAGAAGCAATAGTAGTATAGTGCAAGTAAGTAAGGTAAATGAGGTGGAGAGTTGGAGAGAGGATGCACTTCAGTGTAGGGATGTACACGTATGTATGTATACACAGCATAAACGAGTACTGTTGAAAAGAGAAAATTTTGTTTTTTTTTGTATGAAAAGAAGATGAATAACTAAAGTATTATTTCCTTTATTATTTTATGTATTATTTATTCTTTCAAATTTTCATTTCGATATTAGCTTAAAATACATTTAAAAAATCGGATTTTTCGTAAAAAATAGATACTGTTATATTTTTAATTTTTTTTACATCATTTTCTCAGCAGCATTGGCCATTTTATTTCGTTTCACGAAAGCTTCACTCCATCACTTTTTGTTTCTCACTTGACACGTATAAATCTGCTCCGCGCCGGCGCTGATGAATACACTCAAAAAATCCACTCAAAAGCGGCTTCTCCCTTATATTCGAAATCACACGCACATATCTACACTTTTTCATGACTTGCTTGACTTCAAATTCCACTCAAAAATATAGGCGGAGCATTAACGCCATTTCTGCACGCACACAAGTTTACAATACAGCTATTGAAATACCAGTTTTGAGTTGTTGCATCTTTCGTTTTTATTGTATTTTAATGTTTTAAAATATACAGGGTGCTCGCCGCTGTTGACTTGGCTTACAGCTGTGTGTGACATTTTATTTCCTTTTTGCTGCCATTTCTGTACTTCGCGAAACAGCTGTTGCTCTCTGTCTGCCTGTCTGTGTTGTTGTGTGCTCGTCTGTCTCTCTGTCTGTCTGTGGTATCGCGTGGCGTACGCATATTGTATTGCATTGGTATCACTAGCAAAAATTATTTCCTCTTAAATTATTTGCAGACACCTGGAAAATGCATAACGTGTTAAAAGTGCTGGGATGTATGTATGTATAACATATGAATTTCGTATGGCTGGAGATGTGTGATTTTTGTTGTGGAAACATTAATATGCGTGATGATGATTTTATGTTGGATATTTCGTGATTTTGTATGTTACTATATGTGATTGCTACTATGACGCTTGGCGACGGCAAACTAAGTATTTTTCATGGACTTCAAATACCAGCCAAATTTTTTGTTAGTGAACTTGAAGTATTTAAAGGTATAATATAGTGTTGACAAATAGCTTGGAAAGCAATTAAAAATTTCTATTTGAGCATTCGTATTACTGTTTTTCGGTCGAAAAATACATATGTATGTATGTATGTATGTATATTATATAACCTACTGGACAGATGTATTGAATTAATATGAGATGACGTTATTTTCTTAATTCAAACTGTCTTTTATTTAGTCTGCTGCAAAAGAACGAATTTATTTTGTTATTAGTTTTCAGATCTAATTTTATTTAGTTATATATGTATATATGTATGTATGTAAAGTTAATTTTATTGTCTGGTCACTTCTATCTACGTGATCGCATCTTAGCAGTTTTAGTTAAGAGTTAGAGTTAAGGTTTCGTCAGATGTGGCAAATTATTTATTTCAAATTCCATGTCAAAATGACAAATTTTGAAACAAAAAAAAAAAAAAAAATCATGGAAATAGAATTTCAATTTTTAGAAACTGGCTTATTTCAGGATAATTTTTCACAAATCATTTCTACCAATACTTAAGCCTTTTGACGGCAATTTCAAGAGAAAATAAAATTGCCAGCAAAGCACGAGTAATTGAGAATTTAATTTCAGAAAGTAAATTGCAGTTAAATCAATGCAGATGCACCTTGCATTTTTTTCTTGAATTTATTTATTTGCAGAAACTAGCTTCCGGATGGTAAAACGTCGAATTGAAGTTTTTTGATAGCAAAATTCGTAAAGGTAATAGCAATTGCGTGAAAATAACTACGCCCGACAGTCTTAAACTGATATGAAAATTGGCGACACAGAAAATTATTAAAGAGGATGAACGAAAATCTATTAAAATTACGATTAAATGATTTGCTTGGCACCAATAAACTGATATCTAACATGTATTTACACAAAATATATATATATATATATATATGCATACATATTTGGTTCAAAATTACTTATTATTTAATATTACATTAGAAAAAGGGTTTCGAATGTGCTTGTTAAAAAAATTCTGACGCAGCTAAAGCGATCGGAAGTTACGCACACAAAATATAATATATATGTATTTTGTTTACTACCTTCAGTGTTAGAATGAAGAGAAGAAGTTAAATTTTAATTTTTAATTACTTCAAAGAAATTTTTTTTATATTTTATTAAAAAAAAATTATAATTGACAGAAAAAACCCTTCCAAAATCCATACCATTTTCACTATGAAGTTAAATCGTTAAAAATTTACTTAGTAGTTTTGAGAAATGCTTGACCACAGAGCTTTGCAAAAAAAGCGAAAAAAAACATTTTTTTTTATTTAGCCTTAATAAATAAATTCTGAATAATTTTGAGTCGACACCATAGGCAGCAATTTTGTAATTTAATTGAAACCAAATTAATTAATTATTTGAAAGATTATGAGCAGTGTTGGCTGAACGAGACAGCAATTCGAAGGCGCACACGTAAGGTGGACTCGGCTCCAAAATATTTAGGGCCATTCCCCGTAGAGCTCTGAGCCTGATAGATTACTTATAAATATGTGACGCCTTTGACTATACTGGAACTTATGTGACCAAACTCTGCCTTGCTTTAAACACTTAAAGTATTGCAAAATTTCCAACCTTTTTGTGATTTCGAGAGTAAATATTATAATCGCTGGTAGCGCTTTGGCCGAAATTTTGATAAAAAAAGTAAGAAAGTATAGAAAATTTTTATTTTCGTCAGTTGAAAAGGTGAAAGAACCCCTAGAGTTGCATTAACCGAGCTTAGTTCACTTCGTAGCGGGTTTGCTTGCAGTATGTGCTATCAAGCCCAGAGGTAATGAGTTCAAATCTTAAGCAGATAAGTCCGAAATGATACAAAATGTTTATTTTTTATGATGGAGGTCGCCACTCAGGTCTTATAAATATGCAATAGCCATTCAGAAGGGTCTTAGATACTGGTCGCTTCATTTTCGAAACAAAATCAAGTCGCGCATAACAAATCTGAGTGGCAGCTCGGCTGAAAGTCGTTTCGGGATTACATATTTCGTGGTAAAGGGCTGTGTTTGACAGCTGTCGAAAGTGTGTTGTGTTTTAGTTAAAAGAAAAACTCAAAGGGATTCAAATATTGTAAGGTCTGAGAATTATCGTTTTGCTCGTGTAGCCGAAGAATCGAAAGTGTCTATATCCTAACGTGCTCAAAAGCTGTGGCTTTCTTATGCACATTATGGCGTATTTCACACTTGGACTTACACCTACATGCATTTTATTTACTTTTAGTAACGATACCGCAAAATGGTTAATCCAGTATGTATGTTGTTGTACTATTAGTAGATAAATCAAACTATTTTTGGAAAAAAATATTAGCCCAAAGGGAGACGTTAGCATTGTGTAATCCAGCAGGGCAATTCTCTATCGTATTATAACGATTTTCGGATCGTTATAATGACTTAACGATAATTTTAACGATTTTGCTATTCTCTAAGCACAGTATAACGATTTTCGGATCGCAAATTAGACTTAGCGATATTTTTAACGATAATCGCTATTCTCTAAAATGGTATAACGATTTTCGGATCGCAAAGAAGACTTAACGATATTTTTAACGATNACAGTTAGTGTGAGTCAGTTAGTTGTCAGTTGGTTGCAAGAAAGTGCAAACCATAACATGCTATTGAAAAACTTTGTAATGCATTGCTATTCTTTTAATTAAAATAATTTTAATAACAAATTTATATGTTTTTGTCATTCCTCTTTGTGTTTTTCGTACATTTTGACGTTTCGTTGAGCTGTGGTGCCACCTTTCCTACATTTTAATAAAATGGAAATATGCGATGTCGATTATCGTAACAACTGCGTTAGAGAATCACATAATCGTTAGCGCAAGCGACAAAATTCGCAACTTTGCGATCCGACAAATCGTGTCGATAAAAATTACAGAATTGCACTGCAGAAGTCACTGAAACTTTGAGGGAAATAAATATCGGCGTATGTATGTCTATATTTAATTATGTATTATATGCAGATTTTAACTAGAGTTATTAAAAAATATTCAAGTCTGTATATGCAGCAAACGCACACGTGCATTTTGCACAGAAAATAAACATGAATATTTATTTTATATGTACACATACATACATACATTTAAATGCTTACCTCACAACGCCTCACCTTCGCAACGCCATTAATTAGAATATTCAAATTACTTAATAATATATGACAATTTTAATGCTAAATGCAAATGCTAAATTTGCCAAAAGAAATTAGTTTTGAAAACAGCTAATACGTTTCAATATATTTACATACATACCTACATATGTATGTATATGCATAGGGGAGTCACCAGTGCTTTGAAATTTGTATTTATTTATTTTATATATATATATTTATATATGTATCTCCATTTTATTGCTTAAAAATGTCACAAGCACCAACAACAAAATAAACTTGGCAAGTTTATTACCGAAACTTTAAAGTTGAAAAAAAAATAAATAAAAAATGCAAAATAAAATAAATATTTCAAACGCCGTCTACCGAATAGAAAATAAAAATCAAAATATAAAATTATTAAATAAATAACAAGATTTGATTTTATATGCAAATAAAGAAAAAGAAAAGCTTTTAATAAATATTAAGCGAGAAGATAAAACAAAATATACAAAACCGTGAACAGCTGAATATTTTTGTTTCTTACTGCTGACAACAACAATGCAGCTGCTTGGTTTAATAGTAATTTAAAGTAGCCACAACAAACGAAAAATGCACGCAATAAAATTTAAAGTGTCAATAGTTTAAATGCCAATGACAATTCGGCGTGTCAGTGTGTGTGTGTGTGTGCGTGCATGTGTGTGTGTGTTATTATATTTAGGTAGGTGCGTGCAGGTAAACAAGCTAGCCTGCTATTCATTTACATAGTCTCATATTGGCTTTAAATACACACACACACGCGCATCCATGCAGTGAGCCAAACTGACCGCTGCGTGAGGGGAACAGAGCGCAGGAGTGCGCTGAAGCCACCAAATGGAGCAGACAACAATGGATTGACGATATTTTCACGCCCATTCACAATATATAATACATTAACAGGCAATAACAACGTTAGCAAATGGTGCAACAACAATAAACACAACACCAACAACAATTATACAATAGTTTGCCTATATTTACTACACTCCACACAAACACATACATATGCATATATGCTCTTTGGTGATGACAATGCGAGACAATTTCGGTTTGTCGGTTTGTTGTCACTTGGTTATGCATATCGGCTGCTGCTGGTTGTTGTTATTGTTGTTGTTGCTGTTTTCAATATTATTGTGGAGTATCGTTTGAATTAATGAGTTTGTTGGCGCTCATACAAACGCCCACGTAATTTCGAAAATGTATGCAATGCTATGTTCAAAGTAACAACATCAACACCACAAATGTCCAAAAATCGAGGTGGCAAAAGTAAAGTGAACCCATCGACCAAACCGAACAACCAAGCAACCGACCGGCACAGCGGCACACCGACACTACGGCAGGCCAAGCAGTCAACCAAGCAACCAACCAACCGAGTTGTCATCGCTTTTAGTGGGCAGCCAAAAGGTAGGCTGGCAGGCTGGCAGGCAATGCAGACAGTTAGTGTGAGTCAGTTAGTTGTCAGTTGGTTGGCTAACAATTCGCTTTGGCTGGTTGACGTTTGGCTTATGGCGGCGTGTGTATGTATGTGTGTGTGTGTGAGGGTATTTGTGTGGTATTTGCAACTTAAATTAAAGTTGCGCTGACGTGTGTAGTTTTGTTGGTACTTAAAAGTGGAGCATTCCATGCTAAAGTCGGAGAAATTTTTTAGGTTAGGTTAGAGTGACAGGTCCAGTTTACCTGAAGTTACGTGAAGAATATTAGAAAACAGTTGATGGCAAGTTTCCCGATAGCTCCACATAAAAGCACGAAAGTGGGGAAGAAACTGATGTACTCCTTCAGACACTGTGGAGATATGCAGAGGCATCAGCCAAACAGTGAGATGTCGGAATCCCCAACTATTTGCAGGTCTTTGTGATCAAGAAGTTTCTGTTCGCGATTAATAAATCGTTGATATGGAGATGACGGTCTTTGCTCTCATCCTCAAAATGCCTAGGAATTCGGATATGACTCGGTCTCTAACTGAAAAATATTCTGGACACAATTGAGAGAGAGCTTGAATAAAAATCAATTATATAAAACAAATTATATAAAAGTAAAAAATCTCATGAATGTCCTGTGGAGCGATTGCACCGTCTTTAAAGACTTTTTCTACGAGGTTTCGAAGATTCCAAAGCTGATATTTTTCCGTAGAGAACAAAAAGGTCGACCAAAACCTTCCACTGATGACGTCACTGTAGCTCTGATGAAGCCCAAAATTGTTGAAGATCCACGTTTGACACCATAAATAATTGCTAATGATTTGTGCTAGGCTTCCATGGCTGTAACGTGAATATTAAGTAATCATCCGGGATACATGAAGAAATCTGCTCGATAGGTACCATGTATTTTAAATGAGGCTCAAAAAGAGGCTCAAGTGTATTTTACTCAATTTTTCTTAAACAAATTCGTAAGTCTAGTAAATTTAGTATAGTCGTTACTGATGACGTATCTTGGTTCTATAAGTACGATCCAGTAATCGAACAGCCGTTCATGGTATGGAGATCAACGGGAGCAAACCCAAACCGGAAAATTTGAGCAACACAAATCAGCAGCAAAAATAATGATGTCAGTTTACATCAACTGATCTAAAATAATAGCTGTGATTCCACAACAAAAAGGTCAGATAGTAAGTGCATAAATAGTACACCGAAGAGTGCTTAACAAAAGTTTTCAAAAATTGGTTGGGAAACAGGAAGAAAGAGGATTTGCGGCGCTACCTTTTACATCATACAACGCACCATCCCACACTGTTG